CTTTCTGCATGCCCCCTACTGGGGATTGAGCCCGCAACCCGAGCATGTGCCCTTGACCGGAATCAAACCAGGGCCCCTTCAGTCTGCAGGCCAACACTCTATCCACTGAGCTAGGGTCCTTCCATTGATTTTAAAGCCATTGACCAGGAACACACTGACTTGGCAAGGATGGCAGAATTGCTTAAAATTTGCCAGCCCAACCATATGTCTTACTTTCATGTGCCAGCCATTTTATTTCTCTGGCTTCCCTGAAGGCAGGGGTGAGACTTTTGAAGTCTTTCACAGGCTTAGGGAGATAAACAGGGGTGGAGTGCTCTTTGGGGACTAAAAACTATAATCATTTCTATTCTTCTCTTCCCCCTTGCCCCCATCGTCTCTGGTCCTAGACTGAGATGAATGGCTACCGGAATCCTTCGTACCAGATTTAATCAAACAGAAATTTCTACAAAATCTATTTTATCCTCTTGAGGGGCATGGCACTAGACCAGGGGTGGGCAAACTTTTTGACTCGAGGGCCACAATGGGTTCTTAAACTGGACCAGAGGGCTGGAACAAAAGCATGGATGGAGTGTTTGTGTGAACTAATATAAATTCAAAGTAAACATCATTACATAAAAGGGTACGGTCTTTTTTTTCAATAGTTTTATTCATTTCAAATGGGCCAGATCCTGCCCGTGGGCCATAGTTTGCCCACGGCTGCATTAGACTCTAGTTCTATATCTGTAGGAGAGGCTGGGGGGCATCATTTTGGTCCACAACTCTTTGTCATTCCAGTGAGTGACTACTGCCACAGCACCTCAGATACCACTGAAAAAATCAAGAGAACGAAGACTTTCAAGACCAGAACATTTCAAGAAAGGAAGGAGCAGCTTACAGTATGTGTATCCCTTGGTCCTTAACAGATGTCTTTTTTGGCCTGTCTACTTAATGTTTTATTTTGAGAGTTTTTGTTTAATGGAAGAATATATTTTTTCATTTTTTGTTCCTTTTTTCATGACAGTTTGTATTGATTTTTTGGAATCCTTTAAAATATCTCAAGATGACTAATTAGAATTATTTAAAAATTCTCATCAGTGTCCTGAATCACCTCTGCTTCCTCTGGTGTCAGTTCTGTGTGCCCATCTTTCTTGTTCTTATTTTTGGTTTGTCTCAAATGTGATGATCCTTGGTTGTCTGGTCACATTAACAAGTGAAGAGCTAGTTTGATTCTCACAAGCACCTGGCATGGGTGCCCAGCATGGGTGGGTCTGGAGTCTCTGTGTGGGTGGATGAGCATACTTGGGGAAGGCTTCCCTGGAGGGTGGTGGGCAGGGGCAGGAGAAAGTACAAGAAGGCCTTTCCTCTGGTGGTGAGGGTGGTGCTGCGAAGTACTCCGATATGAGCTGTCTTCCAGACCCTTCCCTATGTCTGTCATAGAGGTTGGGGCTCTGCCCTTCTTGGGCCCCAGTGCTCCCAGGAAGTGCCTGTGAAGCAAATCATGAACTCTCTGGAAAATAGCTATCAGGGTTTAAGCAGAGAGCAAAAGCTTCCTGTCCTTGCAGTGGAGAGGAGGACACCAGCCATCTCAGCTACTTGCAATAACGCCCTCTACTGACACACTCATGATGCGGCCCAGCACTCAGCATCCACCCTCCTTGTTGATTAACTTTGAGCATCCGCAAGGTTCCCTGAAGAAAGCACACTCACCCTGGTTTTTACCCGGGTTTTTTCTTTGGTTAGATTTCCTTGTCAGTCAGATCCCATCAACTTTCAATCTCTGGATTCCTCACCATTTCTGATCCACTGATGGCATCCTTTCAGAGTTTCCACAGCTGGTAGAGTTTAAATAATTTCAGCGGGAGCTTTGCAGAAAGAGACAGTGGGTGTCCTTGCTCTGTCTACCACCTCACCTTGTAGTTAGTCCTCTGGCTGCAGCAGAGAACAGAGGTACTTGGCAACAAGCCCAGAGCCTGGGTCTCCAGCTGGAAGTAGGGATGGACACAGTGTCAGTCACGCCCTCCAGCTTTCAGTTAAGCCAGGCCCGCAGGGTCCTCAGGACGCACAAACCTGCCGCCTAGCTTGCATTGTGATTCCTCTGGAGGCAGGGACTCTGCTCTTCATCTTGTGTCATAAACACTAATAAATTTGGGAAGAATACCTAAGAATTGTTGTAAACTTAATTGCTTATGATTCCTTGTACTCTACCTTCTCCCAGTTTGAAATATTGTCAGTAAGTATAAGAAAAGTATAGGATTCCATAAACTTCATAACAATTTTACCATTTTGGAAATTTTACCCACTTATTCTGTACATGATCTGAATCCCCCAGTGTTATGTGCCTTTATCTTCTCATTCTCATTTAGGGGACAAGTGACAGAAGCTATACCATCTGTTCATTCATCCAGTGATTACTTTTGAGCACATCTATTCTAGGTGCAGTTCTAGGTGTTGAAAATAAACAAAAGCCATAAAGGTCTCAGACCTCATGAAGTTGACATTCTAGTACATTTTTTCCCATAAGGAATGGAATTCAGTATAAACAACTGCCCCCACCCTCTGATGGATTAGAGCACCTTGTTCTGAGCTGCTCACTGGGAGGACACAGAGTGAACCTTGCATCTTCTTCCAAAGGCTCAGAGGCCCTGGCCAGTGTCCTCATCCCTGTGGCTTCCAAGGAGCCAGGGAGGGGTGGCATTACTTTCGCTCTATAAACCGGGAAATGGTGGTCCCGGAACTATCCCATAGTCACCCCTGGGTGGGATCCAGTGGCAGAAACCTACTAGAGGTAATGTCTCCTGCTTTCTAGACTGCTTCCTTTAGTCTTCCAGTAGCCAGCATTTGCACTCCTTTCTCCATAAGGAAAAATGTTATAAAGATAAATTTCACTGCATTTTGAAACTATAATGATAATAAAATCTTCAGATTTCTGATGATAGGTAGATGGGAGGTTATTTTCCCCCCAAGCAAGAGGTTGACTTTATTGGTTCACTCACACCTCAGGTGCATGTATTGTGAACTGTCATACTTAGGCTGACTTTGAGCACTTTATACCAGCATGCAAAGTAAATTTTAGGATTCACCTGGTTGCTTCTCCTAGAAATAGTCATAATAAAACTAGTGTGGTGTTTCTTGGTTTTGGTAAGATTTCTCCTTGCATCCCTGTCTTTAATAATGTAAAACAATGTGAGTGTGGTGTCCTTCATCAAGGCAGTGTTTCAAAGACCAGGAAAATGTACATTAGGTGGGTTTTTTCAGTGCTGCTGGCTGTTGGGGACCACACACACACACACACACACACACACACACGCTCTGCTCATGCTCCCCTGTCCCTGGGGCTCAGAACTTAACCCTGGAGAGGAAACATTTACCTCGAGGGTTGAGCCTGGGTAAGAGGGACTTGACAGTAAAAGTATTTTTGCGGCGGTGGAAATGACCACATTCTGTAATGCTGCAGCCCGAATACAGGCTCCTGCGGAAGGAAGTCGGACCGACAGGGGAAGGAAGAGTCTCTGTGATTGAACAGTTGCTTGATGAAGTAAGTGCAACCGAAGAGCAAGTCTCTCTGGGGGTTCCAGCCTATGTTTCATCTCTGTCTCTTTCAGATGGAAGTTCTGTCCAATGTTGTGATTATCACAGGGCCAGTTAAATTTTTTAATGCTGGGAATGGATTAAATGGCGAGTCCAAAGCTTTACATGAATTGTTGTTACCTGTTGCTAGTTTTTATGACAAAGGAAATAGGCAGAAAAGTGCATATGAGCCCAAATAACGTGCATGAAGGTGGACAGAATCCCTGGTCTGTGAGATCCCATGTGACCGTCATGTTTCCTAAAGAAGCAAGGTTGTCTGGGTGCCTGCTCCTCCCGATGTGGAAACAGAAGTTTTACCACCCGAGTGACATGGCAGCTCTGTCTGTTCTTTGTTGGGTCTCGGGGTTCCTGATTCCCTTCTCTGTGGATTTAAAGCCGTTTAGTTCCATCAAGGATGTTTGTGAGTGACTAAGAAGGCGATTAGATGCTCCTGAGTGCAGGGTTTTGTGGCAGGCTTGTCCTTTTCCATGTGCTGCAGGGAGCAGATCCCAACTGCAGTGACAATGAAGACCGACCCGTTATTACCGTGGCTGTGATCAATAGGCACCATGAAGCAATCCCAGTCCTCGTGCAGAGAGGAGCAGACCTCGAGCGGCCGTGGGGACCGTAAGTGAGACACAATGGAGGAGAGTTCTGGCGCCATGCGGCAGCCAGCCAGTACCTTGAGCTCTGCTGCAGCAGGATCAGCTACATGCATGCCCTGTGCAATTTCATCCACTTAGGCACCATCCGCACCCATTGTGGCCTTAGTGAGAGACTCCACCACCCATATTTTCTAAATCTGGATAGAACGAAATCTTCAAAATGGACCTTTGGATTGCCTAAATTTTAGTAGCTTTTATAAAGGACGGTACATTTTGTTAATTCATGAATGTATACTATCGTGGGGCTGGCAGGTTCTTAGTGCTTACGGTGTTAACCAATGTTTTCGTCATGATCTGAATTATTAAGGCCCGTAAGAGAAGAGAGCCCCACAGGAATATACCCATGAAGTTAATGCACAAAGAAAATGATATACAGTTGCCTCACATGTTAACATCATTGGGGAGGAGACGGGTCCATCTGAGTCCACCACATAATCTCCTGGTGCCTTGGTTTCCCCAGCTGTGAAGCAAGACAGAGCGATACCAAATCATGTGTGATGACTTTGTTACCTACTGTCCTAGTCTTGGTGCTGTCCTACCTCTTGACCTCTCCCAGCCTGTGTTCCTGTTGCTCTCTTGCAAATAGTAGGAAACCTGGGGTGGAAAGTTCCTTGAGTATGGGTCCTTCCTGTTAACTGCCTATCCTGCTGACCAAGCTGTTGAACTAGAGGGCTCGAGGGGCATCCCAGGTGTCTAACATTACTGCCTCCTGAGTTATTATTAAGACAGGGTCGAAGCCCAGCTCCGTGAATCATACTGCTGAGTATCTCAAGCCAGCATAGGGGACAAAAGTTCAGTAGTTTTGCTTCTGTTTTTCTCTGTTTCAAAATTTCTTCTAGTGTTTTTATTCAAAATATATTCCTCTTAATTCTTGATGTGCATTTTTATTAGTCTTTGCCAAAAAGACAGCTATACTATACCAGTAGGCATGACCCCCTTTTTAGTTTTATTTTATAGCAGGATTTTGGCACATTGGTATAAACATTTGATGGCTGGAGTTTACTTTCTTAAGTTTTCGTAGGGTTCACATTCATCATACTCTGTCAACTTCTTTATCCCACACTTGTATCATCATTAGCTATAAAAATACTACTACTTTGTTTTGTGTGAAGGTATAGTTTATATTTGTATAATTCAGATAATCTTTTCTTATAGCATTTAAGTATGTTATGGTTAATACAAAAAAATATTGAGCACATTTTGAGCTGATGCTTAAGTCAGATGAGTCCTAGCTTTATGAAAAACCCAGCTAAGAGGATGAAACTATTCTGGACGGGCAACAGATTTACTGGTTTTCTTTGGTGTTCTTCAGTTTTTATTTTTGCTTCATCACCATTCGAACCCACCATGTCATTTATCCATGTGATCTCATTGCATTTCTACTAAGTCTGTGGTTATGCCATCTGTCTCAAGGATGTATAATAGCCCTTTGTCATTCTTACTGCATGCTCCTGGGTACTATTAGCAGAATTTAGCTCACATGGGGAAGAGGGAGGAACGCTAGACTGAATGCCTTCCCCCCACATAGAGCTCAGAGATCTCTCCTTCCTTTTCAGTTTATGCCAATAGAGGAAAGCACATTTTCCCACTGGAAGCCAAATGATGCAAGTCTGATTTATATTTGTTGGTTTGAAGTATTTAGGCCTAGGTCAGCCTGCCCTCTGCCCCACAGCTGGACCTCTGGGGATCCAGGAACATGACCTCAAGTTTCCATTCACCCGACTGCTCTTCAGGTATAAGCCAGTCGGAGACGTGGCTATCCTGGAGAAGAGGCCCAGTGCGTTGTCCTCAGCACACCTGATTGAAATGCACCTTCCCTCCCAGGCATGTTTGGCTAGTGGAGAGAAGCAGCCCCGTTGGCTTCCATATGAGGTCACTTCCATTAAGGAGGTTGGCGGGTAGCAGAGGCCCTCCCTAGTGTTTCTGTTTACCATGTTTGTATCATTTCTATCAGAATAAACTCATATTCAACAGGAAGGAAAAGGCCAGGTACACATTCTCCACCGAAGCTGATACCTCTTTGCAGACTTCAGAAACAGACTCAAGGTCTCACTGGGAGAAGGACACAGAGGAGTGTTGTCTGCTTTGGACAATAGCTGCCCTTCTTCACGGGAGTTTCAGACAATTAATCTCTCAGATCTGCTCCAGGTGAAGAAAATGCAACCCGAAGTCTATTTCTTAGAGGTTCAGCTGTGGAGATTTGTTCTGTTAGGTAATTCAAGATTTACAAAGAGAATGTACCTTAATCCCCTATGATGCTTAGATTTGAATAAACAGTTTGAGTTGTTTGTTTGTTAAGAGTAAAATTTCTTTAAAATACAAATTCCAGGAACACAAAGTTATAACTACTGTACAAAACATGTTCTAGAAGGTCTGATGAGAGTACACCGCTATTCAGAGGAACAAACTCACAAACTACTCTGAAGCATGGGGTTCTGACAAGGAGGTGTATTCCACCTAGCACACCTTCCATATATTTATTTTATTTTTTCCATCACCATTTATCCCCTCTATGCCCTTTTCCACTTCCTCCCTCTCCTCCCCCCCACTTTCCATATTTGAGTTAAGTTGTTTGATGAGCAGTATACAAAATTAGAATTGACAGAGTCACAATTCATCATTTTCCAAAACTAAACTGTAAATAGAATACACACTCTGCTCTCAGATTGGGGAGAGTTGTGAAGAAAGACGATCATTATGTCTACTTAGGAAATGTGGCGACACCATCGGCATATCTAAGTTCAAATGGTAAGTGTCTTATAAAGACCCAAGGAACCTGAGGGGTGAAGTGACAAAACAGTTAAGCCATATGCTACTAGGGAGAAGGAAAGCTGAAAGATACGGAGGAGATTGGTGTCACTGGTGTGACTGAGACATCCTTTGTCAGTGTTCCCATCACATGCTGTGTACCCCTCTGCCTGCATTTACAACTGGTACCCTGAGCTCCTGGAGAGAGGACCCTGGCCCTGGCACAAATGGGAACATCAGGCTGGCATTCAAATGTGTGCTGAGCAGATGAACAAACAATCAGAATGACTGAGAGCCAGGCAGAAGTAATCCAATAGACCTCATGAAAAGTGTAAACTTAGAAGGTGAGCGCTGGACATTCTGCTCTTGGAGAGAGAGCACATAGTCTCCTCTGTGGTGACAGAGGACAGGGTAGAACAGATGAGAGCAAAATGTAGAGAAAATGAGCATATTCTTCTTGCTAGGCCTTTTTATCCACAAAATAGAGATAATAATATTTATTGTCATAGAATTGGTTGGAGGAGAAAATGAGACCATGTATTTGTAGTTCCTATGAAGAGCCTAATAATTGGACATTAATAAATGATAGCAGGCTTTGAATGGGAAATATGGACCGCACGATGAAACCCAGAGTGAAAGGTGTTAGAACTGGTTAATACAATTTAAGTTAGTTTAAGTTCTATATTCTATTACTCTTAATAGATATCACCAAGTCTTCCTAGGCCTGAGTTTTCATAATTAAGAAAGGGCATGTTATAGTCTTTTAATATATCAAATTCTAAGAAGTTGGATTTGATAAGAGCTTCTCATAATTTACTGCACATATGAATCACCCAAAGATCTTGTTAAAATGCATATACAGTTGATCCAGGAGGATGCCACTGGTCCAGGTACCATAGTTTGAGTAGTGAGGATATAGAGACTGTTCTTAACATATTGTGGATCAGTAGTTCTATTGCTAGCTTTACCCAGTGGCCAGATAAGTTTCTATTGAATGAGTACAAAAAAGTTTTACATAAATGTTAAAGCCCTAACCGGTGGCTCCGTGGCCATTGCATTCTGAAGTTATTTATTACCTGTTCTTACAAGCTAGTATCTTTTTAAAATATGATACTTTGTAAAACACTGTCATATGAAGCGAGAATTCTCGGGATCCGTCCCCAATGTGTTAAGAATTATTATTAAAATTAGGTGGGACAACTGACATTATAGTCACGTTAAAAAAAAAAAACAGCAACCCCACCTTCTAATTAAGTTCCTTTCAATATGCAGGAATCTGTGCACCAGGCCTCTAGTAAGAGATAAAGAGCTGTTTTCTCGCCCTGGCCAGTGTGGCTCAGTTGGTGGGGAGTCATCGTGTGCACAAAAGGGTTGCAGGTTTGATTTCTGTCAGGACAATGCACAGGTTCTGGGCTCGATCCCCAGTAGGGGGCGTGCAGGAGGCAGCTGATGGATGTTTCTCTCTCATCAATGTTTCTAACTCTCTATCCCTCTCCCTTCCTCTCTGTAAAAAATCAATAAAATATATTTAAAAAATGTTAAAGGCACGCTTTAAAATTAAATACCCATTGCATTTTGAAGTTATTTATTACATGTTCTTACAAGCTAATATCTTGTTAAAGTATGATTGGCCACAAGCCTTTGAATAGAAAACACGAGAATCCTCGTGATCCATCCACAATGTGTTAATATGAATTGAGCTTTTACGAGGCAGCCCAACATGACACTTGGTAAGGAAATGGCCTCATAATGCTATTGGACACTGGGGATTTCCTCCTGTACCTGAGAAGTCAGTTATGTTGACCTGATAAAAATAATAATGTTGATGATGATGATGATATCATCAATACCACCAACAACAATATGAAGACTGATCCCCAAAACTTAGTTACTTGAAGAAACTATGTAGAACCAATGGGCAAACCTTTGGAAATTCTGGCATAAGGCATATTGCTTTGACACTTCCATCTATTGCCTCTGGGAAAATAGTAGGAAAAACACCATTCAGATTTGCTTGACACCAGGAGCCTTGGCCAAATAAGTTATTTAAGTAACAGAAGTCAGGTGCAGGATAAGATTTAAAACTAGATAAGATCTCGAGCCATTAGGGTGTTTGATGCTTTTGGAGTGCTGTTGCAGTGAAAGTACTCAGTTTCTCATTTACTCTGGAAAATGGAGAGCCATCTATTTAAGTGGACAGTCCAAATCAGAGGCTTACCCTTCCACCTCTGTATGGGGAGGGTCATAGTTATATTTACCTGAAATTCTTGCAACTCATATAGGCTTCAACCTTGGAGGCAATACTTCTTCCTTTAATTTGTCTGTTCATTCTTTTCATGGATGTCTTCATTTCACTAGTGGTTATTGAGCACCTACTGTGTGCCAGTCACCTTCTAGGTAATGGAGATACAGCAGTGATAAGACAAAATCCTTCTCTCGTGGAGTTTACAGTTTAGTGGAGGAGACAGACAATAAACAGGCAAATGAATAAGTAACTTCGGAGAATAAATGCTGCAGATAATAAAGCCAGGTAGAAAAATAGCGGGTGTGGTCAGAAAAGGACCCAAACCTACCCTCTTGGACCAGAGACACAGAATTAGTCTAGAACAGACTTGCTTTAGGTGCAGGGGACTATTGGAGAGGTTGTTCCAAAGTGAGATTTCCTTATTTATGATTAGTCTGGCAGAAAATTTTTTTTAAAAATATGTTTTTATTAATTTCAGTGAGAGGAAGGGAAAGGGAGAAAGAGAGAGAAACATCAATGATAAGAGAGAATCATTGATTGGCTACCTCCTGCACACCCCCTACTGGGGATCAAGCCTGCAACCTGGGCATGTGCCCTGACCTGGAATTGAACCGTGACCTCCTAGTTCAGTGATGGCGAACCTTTGAGCTCAGCATGTCAGCATTTTGAAAAACCCTAACTTAACTCTGGTGCCGTGTCACATATAGAAATTTTTTGATATTTGCAACCATAGTAAAACAAAGACTTACATTTTTGATATTTATTTTATATACTTAAGTGCCACTTAACAAAGAAAAATCAACCAAAAAAAATGAGTTTGCGTGTCACCTCTGACACGCATGTCATAGGTTCGCCATCACTGTCCTAGTTTATGGGTCATGCTCAACCACTAAGCCACACCATCTGGGCTGGCAGAAAGATTTAAAATATTTGTATTTGTTTATTGAAAACAATTCTTACATGCCAAATAATTTTTTAATTTTGTCAAAGTAAGACATGCACATGATTGGAAAGTCAAATCCTATAGAAGGGATTAGCACTCCTCTGCCCTCACTTCTTTTTTTGTTGTTTTTGCTGAATTTATTTTTTTTATTTTTTACCTTTTTTGTTGAGAGTATTACGGATGTCCTCCCTTTTCTCCTCATTGTGCCCTCCACCCAGTTCCCACCCTGCCCTAGGCCTTCGCCACCCTATTTTCTGTGTTCATGGGCAATGCATCTTTGCATATAAGTTCTTTGATTAATCTCTTCCTGCCCCCTGCCCTCTTCCCTCTGAGTTTGTTTCATGTTTCCATGCCTCCGGTTCTATTTTACTCATCAGTTAGTTTTGTTCATTAGATTCCACATATAAGTGAGATCATACGATATTTGTCTTTCACTGACTGGAAAGCTATGGTATATTTACACAAGGGAATACTATGCAGCTGTAAAAAAAAGAAGAATCTATTACTCTTTGAGACAGCATGGAGGGACCTGGAGATTATTACATAAATGAAATATCATGTCCTCACTTCCTAATCCCCATTTCTTGTCCCCAGGGACAACTACATTGAAATATTTTGTTGTTGTTTAGATATATATTTTTTTTATTTCAGAGAGGAAGGGAGAGGGTGAGAGAGATAGAAACATCAATGATGAGAGAGAATCATTGATCGGCTGCCTCCTGCATCCCCCAACTGGGGATTGAGCCTGCAACCTGGGCATGTGCCCTTGATAGGAATTCAACCTAGACCCTTCAAGTCCACTGGCCGATGCTCTATCCACCAAGCCAAACTGGCTAGAGCTACATTGAAATATTTTTTAACTTTCCTGGGAGTCAGCTACTTCTGTCACTAAATAATATGCTTAAACTGATAATTCCTGATTTATCATGCTTAGGTATTATCTATTGATTCTTGCCATGCCAGATGATGATTTGGCTCACTGACCCCACCTGATTATTTCTATCCCCATATTCATGTTTTAATCATTCTATTACTATTTTTGGTTCTTTTATTAATTCCTGCTATAAATAATGTTCTAAACTCATATTTTGATTGCTATCTTTTTTAGATTTATTTGAGAGAGAGAGATTTGTTGTCCCACTCATTTATGCATTCATTGGTTGATTCTTGTATGTGCCCTGATGAGGGATCGAACCCACAACCTTGGCATATCAGGGTGTTGTTCTAACCAACTGAGCTACCCGGCCAGGGCCTTGACCATTACCTTTCAATGGTACTCTTGACTGCCTTGTATATAAATGCATATAACTGTATATTACTGCTCCCTATCTTTTTTTTT